AAGTTGCCCAGTCGGGTCTTGAACCCGCGAACTCAGGCAATCCACTCACCTCAGCCTCCCAAAGTGCGAGATTACAGGCTGAGCCACCGAGCCCAGCTTGGTTTTATAATTTAAAAGTAGTCCAGGCGCGGTGACTCATGCCTATAATCCCAGCACTTTGGGAGGCCAAGGTGAGAGTATTGCTTGAACTCATGGGTTCAAGACCAACTTGGGCAACTTGGCAAGACCTTATTTCTACAATAAATCAAGAAATTAGCTGGGCATGGTGGCACATGCCTGTCATTCCAGATACTTAGAAAGCTGATGTGGAAGGATTGCCTGAACCTAGCAGGTTGAAGCTGCAGTGGCCGTGAGCGTGTCACTGCCCTCTAGCCTGGGCAATGGAGTGAGACTCCAACTCAAAAAATAAATATATAAATAAATTTTATATATATATATATATGATTTAAAACGTATTCAAAAGTGCTGTGTTCATTTGGGCTCTAAAATAGAATATCCACATGTTATCTGTAAAAAATTTTTCTTATCTTAACATGTAAGATATAGATGACAGAAAACAAGAGTCAAGATATTATTATTATGACAACTGGCCTGGGGTAGCCCCAGCTACACTATAATGCCTAGACCAAGGAGAGAGGGAGCACAAGTGGTAAAAAGAAAAATATGTTTTAGCCGGGTGCAGTGGCTCATACCTGTAATCTCAACACCTTGGGAGGCTGAGGCAAGAGGATTGCCTGAGCCCATGGGTTCAAGACTAGCTTGGGCAACATGGAGAGACCTCATCTCTACAAAAAAATCAAAAAATTAACTGGGTATGGTGGCACACACCTGTGGTTTCAGCTACTTGGAAGGCTGAGACAGAAGGATCGCCTAAGCCCAGCAGGTTAAGGCTGCGGTGGCCATGAGCGTGCCACTGCACTCCAGCCTAGGTGATGGAGTGAGACTCCAACTCAAACAAAACAAAACATGTTTTAAGATCATCTGCTACTTTTAAATGTTTGTATATTATGTCTGTGTTACAACTTCTCTCATTTACTGTGTATTTGGTGAACTTTTGGGATATATATTATACATTATATGTTGCATAAAAGTTCATAGTTTACTTCTGAACTTTGAAGGCCACATAGGAGCAAAGACCTAGAACAAAAATATCAGGCTGTTTTAGGGAAGTATTCAGACTAAGCTATGGCAGTCAGTCAGTTCCGTTGGTCTCTGCCCCCTACCTCATTTCTGTTTTGCTGCACGATGGCTCTTTTTGTTGCTGGTTTAAGCAACGATCTCTCTGCCTCATCTCTATTCTCTGGCTCCCATCCCATCTTACGGGAGTGTTTGGAATGTTGGCTTCTTACTGATATTCATGAAGAATCAGAGATGTGCAAGCTTCCAGAGTAAGGCAACTTGCTCTCCCATCACATATTCCTTGGTACCACTGTCAGGGGCTGTGTGGGTCTCCCCCAGAAAGAAGTTTCTTGTATTCTTTCATCTCAGTATGTATTTTTCCCAAGGTCATGTTTATCTCTTCACTTCACTCCATTCTTGATTTTTCTCAGAGTGCTGTAGGCCACGAGTATGTTGCTGACGTGGAGAAACACTCTTCTCAGATGGATGCTGCCAAAGGCTTTGGGGGCAAATACGGAGTTGAGAGGGACAGGGCAGACAAGGTGAGTGTCAACTCGCTCCCCACACCTCACACCATGTGATACTGACCAGCACTCGCCCCTGAATGTAGGCCCAGGCTTTTTTGGTGAAAGACAGGGCAGTGGATGCTGTAAGGACCCCATGGGCTCCCTCAGCAAGTTCCTGCGCAGTGTTGGAGGCCACGTGCTGAGCAAAAAGGCATTTATTTAAATAAGTCGAAGACTCTAAAACTTCTTTGAATAAGGACTTCCTCAAACCATTGGTTTTTATTATACCTGTATGCATAAAGAGATAATTTTCAAAGCTCCTCTTCTGACCTAATAGCAAGACCTTATAAATATTCATGCCTCTTAGGAAAACAGGGATGCCAGTTTAAATATTACCATGGAAGCAAATAATCAAGTAAAACATCTAATTAGGGTTAGTTGCAATGTTTTCAGAAGGTAAAGGTAACTTTTCACAGGATTTAGCACCAATCTCTGATGTCCAGGTATTTTAAAAGATTCCCTTGTTAAAAAAAAGTTATTTTTAGGAGAAAAAAAGGTTTAGTATGATGACAGCATTATATAGTGGACAAGAGAGTAAGCTGGATAGCTCACTGATGAAACTTAGTTTCATGTTTACTAGATCAGTTCTTTGAACTCTGTTTTTTATAATGGTGCAGAATGGTGCCTCTTCCCTTGCAGCTGTACACGGAGAGCAGACATCTCCTTCACAGCTACCTGGGATTATTTATTTGTTTATTTGTTTGTTTGTTTGTTTACTGATTGATTGATCGATTGATTGAGTCCAGGCTGGAGTGCAGTGGCACAATCACTGCTCACTGCAGCCTGGATCTCCTATGCTCAGGCGATCCTTCTGCCTCAGCATCCCAAATAGCTGGGGTTACAGGTGCACACCACCACACCTGGCTAATTTTTAAATGTTTTGTAGAGATAAGGTCTCGCTACGTTGTCCAGGCTGGTCTCAAACTCCTGGGCTTAAGCAATCCTCTTGCCTCAGCCTCCCAAAGTGCTGGGATTACAGGCATGAGCCACCATGTTTGGCCTGGGATTTTTTTTTTTTTTTAATTAGCAGTTGTTAATTAGATGAACATGAATCCTTCAAATTAAGTTCTAGAATGTTAACTGATTGCATTGTAGGGGGAAAGAAAACAGGAAAAACAAAACCAGACAAGTTCTTTACATGCTGTAAAGAAAAGAGAAAACGCAGAGGTAATTTTTAAAGGCAGTCATGGAATATGGAGCAAGTAATGCTCTATAGTCCGGATGGAATTTCCTGTTCTATCTTGGGCCCCTCCTGCCTGCCTTTGCCTAATCTACTAGTGTTATAGCTTTGGTTCACAAGCCAGACTGAATCACCTAAACAATCAGTGTGTCATGTAAATCAAGAAACAAAACATGCTAATTGGTGCTTAGGATGCAAAATCCATAGTTTGCAAGCCAGATGGGGTCGAAGGTCCCTAAGTGATGTTAGGCGTGGGGTCAATCTACCCAGTCCTGGAACCAGCGAGGATCCAGACTCTCCTGGTTGCTCCCATCCCACCAACACCCACATCTTTGTGTTTCCATTGCTGGGTGAAAGAGAAGAGGAATGGTGTGAGCAACTACGTGATGCCATCTCCTACGTCAGCATAGTGCCTTGTAGTTGACAAGGCACTTTCCTAGCTACCATTTCATTTCGTTTTGTGGGGATTCGTTGGGAAGACAAGCACTAATTTAGTGAATGACTTGATGCGGACACTTTAGATGAGTGAATTCTCATAATATCCCAAAGGGAAAGGGATCGTTTCTCTCATTTTTCCGGTCGAGGTGGGTAAGGCAAGTATGCCTCTTTTCATTTTATATTGGAAGAGTAATATCAAGGAACATGCCTAAAGTCCAACAACTATATGTAGGGGAGGTGGGATTTAAATCTCTCTGTGTCCAGAGTCCGTGGTCATTGCTCGGTAGCACACGGCCTTCACATCAGCCTGTCAGGGAACTATCTATTTCTACCTTCAACCCCCCTACTCAGCGCTGAGCCCCTACGAACTACAAACTGGGGCTGAGCTGGGAGTGAGGGCGAGTCGGGGGAGACTGTCAGCTTTGGCTCTAACCAATTCTCTCTCCTCTTCTCTATAGTCAGCAGTCGGCTTTGATTATAAAGGAGAAGTGGAGAAGCACGCATCTCAGAAAGGCAAGACCCTACCCTCCAGCTTCAGCAGCCGGACTGGCCAGCTCTTCCAACAGCGGGCCATCAGCTCCCTGTAGTTCCATGGCCCAGTTCCCCACTATTTTGTTTACTTTGTACTCCATATGTACATTTGTTTATTCCTTTCCCCTTTCTCTCTCTTTTATTGATTTCTATGCGGCGGATCAAGTTTTCTTTTCTTTTCTTTTTTTGAGTTGGAGTCTCACTCTATCACCCAGGCTGGAGTGCAGTGGCACGCTCATGGCCACCGCAGCCTCGACCTGCCGGGCCCCGGCGATCCTTCCACTTCAACCTTACAAGTAGCTGGAACTACAGGCGTGCACCCCCATGCCCGGCTAATTTTTGATTTGTTGTAGAGACAAGGTCTCGCCATGTTGCCCAGGCTGGTCCTGAACCTGTGGGCTCAGGCAATCTTCTCGCCTCCGCCTCCCAAAGTGCTGGGGATTACAGGTGTGAGCCACTCCCTGCTTCAAGTTTTCTTTTTCCTTTTTCTTTTCTTTATTTTTTTTGAGTTGCTGTCTCACTTCGTCGCCCAGGCTGCAGCCTGCTGGGCTCCGGCCATCCTTCCGCCTCAGGCTTCCAAGTAGCCGAAATTACAGGCTCATGCTACCAGGCCCGGCTAACTTTATTTTATTTATTGTAGAGACGAGGTCTCGCCACGTCTCGCAAAATTGCCCGGGGTGGTCTCGAACCCCGGGCGCAGGGAATCCACTCGCCTTGGCCTCCCAAAGTGCTGGGATTACAGGCTGAGCCATCAAGCCCAGCCCCTCAAGTCTTCTTTAATCCTTCTTTTTCCTCTAATGAATCAAAAGTACATTATTTTATTTCTTTATTTTAGGAGGTTTATTCCTAAGTTTTAACATGCATCTTTGAAGTTTCTAATTAATCACTATCTCTTTCTAAGTAATACGGGAAACGTAGAATATTTTAATACAGTCTTTCTACCAAGTATATCATTGCTGTTCAGTGTTTTGGCTTTATCTTGCTCTTAAACCCCACAAAAAGTAATCACTTTAATTATAATTAAATTAATATATTAATTTAATTAATCATATTACTTGTGAGTCTATGAAAGAATGCACAGTCTTTCAACACTGTCTTTATTTTGCAACATGCATTGTTATTTTCTGTTCATCACTGTGAAGTTATCTCTGACATCTGGCTTGTCAGACTAATGAGAATTCCTTTGTAGGTAACTTGTTTTGTCTCTCAGTTTTTTGGGTTTTTTTTTAATGAAAGACTTTATTTTGGTTTCTGATGTTCTGCAATACTAGTCTGTGTCTAAGTGTTAGATTTATTTTTATTATCCTTTATGAGATTTTTCAACTTCAGATGTGCCTTTCATTATGGAAAGTTCTCAGACATTTTCTCTTTGAATAGTGCTTCTCCTCTCTTCTCTTTTATCCTTTCTTCTTGAAAGTCTATTAGATGTGTATTAGACACTTTCATGCTCAATGTATCTTAATTTCTCTTCTCTATTTCCATCTCTTTATTTTCCTATGCTGCATTCTGGATAATTCCTTGGATTTATGTTAAGTTCACTAATTCTCCCCTCAGCTATATTTAATAATATTTAATGCTTAAGTTTTCCATTACATTTTATGCTTTATTTCAGATATTTTTATTTCTAGAAGTTCCCTTTGATTCTAGTGAAGCTTATTTTTCCATAGTGTCTTATTGTTTTCATATGATTTCCTGCTGCCTTCTTTAAGCTATTTAATTAAAGGTCCTCTTATATTTTATGTTATTTGCAATTCTCATGTATGCCAATTCTTGTTTGATTAATCTGTGTTCCCTTGTGGTTGTTTCCTTGATGATTTGTAACTTTTGTTAGTATGTTTATTTCAGTGAGGTGGGGAGGATATTTGTTTTATGGGAAGTGATCCATATAGAGAAATTTTGTCTTTACTTCTGGCTGAGTTCCAGAGGTTTCAATAGTAATGAATTATTTTTTCCCCATTGAGCTTAGCCTTCCTATTTCTTCTTAAGTTAGTTATGGTGTGTTGTGCTTTTCAAGAAATTTGGCCATTTTATCTATGCTGTCAGATTTATTGGCATAAATTAATTTATTTTCTTGTTTTCTTTTGTTGAGATCTGTAAGATTTATAATGATAAGAAAAGCCTACTTTTATTTCTGATATTGTTTATTTGGGTTTTTCTCTTTTTAATTGGTTATTCTTACAATATGTTCACCAATTTTATTATTCTTTTCAAATAAAACTTTTGGTTTTGCTGATTTTCTCTATCATTTGTTTTTAAAATATATTGGTTTCTCCTCTTATATTTATTATTTTTTTCTTCTACTTAATGTTGGTTTAGTTTGTTCTTTTTCCAGCTTCTTAAGGTAGAAACTTATCATTGATTTTAAGCCTTACTTTCCTATATGGGCACTTAAAAACAATATATTTTCCTCTAAACACTGCCTTTGCTACTTTCAACAAATGTTATTTGTGTTTTAATTTTCATTCAATTCAAAATATTTTCTCATTTTCCTTGTCATTTCTTCTTTGACCCATAGGTTATTTAAAAACATATCATTTATTTTCTAAGTGTTAGACAAATTTTCTTGACAATTTTATTGGTATTGACTTCTAATTTAATTCTATTGTGATCAGAATATGATACCTAATATTACAGTCTTTTTAAATGTACTGAGACTTATTGTATAGACCAGCACATGGTCCATTTTGGTGAAAGTTCTATATGCATGAAAAAAAGTGTATTCTGTAGCTTTTGGGGATAGTGTTCTGTAATAGTCAATTAGGACTTATTTGCTGGCAATGTTGTTTGGCTCATCTATAATTTTGCTGATTCCTTTTTATCTAAGTTTTAAATCAGTTAATGAGAGAAGAGTGTTAGGATTTTCAACAATGATCATGGATTTGTCTATTTCTATATCTGTCCATTTTTGCTTCATTAACTTTGATTCTTCTAATAGGTTTATACCAGCATGCATATTCCTGACAAAAGATGAATAATTCTCTTATCTTTGCATAATGTCCTTCTGGTCATTTTGTTCTGAGGTCACTTCGTCTCGTGTTCACACCATCTTCCTTATGCTCACTCTTTCCATGAGATATATTTTCCTGGTTCAGTACTTAAGTTCATTTCTCATCTTAGAACTCCTGCATTATGTAAGTGGTAGACAAATTAGACATTTTCATTCCACCTCAGGTGTAGGTTTGAAGTTTCCAAGTCTCATATGTAAAGTTTCCCCCTATCAAATGGCTGAGCAGACTATAAGCTCCCTCACCATTTCCCTGGACAAGAGAGTAGAATGTTTCTAGAACTCTTTTATATAAATGGACAGAGCTTCATTTCTGGCTTTCTATGCCCTACCCTCATTTTTATATAGAAATTAAAACCCGAGATTCTAAATTCTAATCACTATTCATCACATTTAGAACTTAAATTTTCCTTGGAGTTTCTGTGGTGTCAGCTCATAATTACCCTCATACATACAGCTTTAATTTATCTGTTTCTGAAGCTAGGATTTTTTTCTTTTCTTTTCTTGTGTGAGCTTTACTCTTTTTTAAAAATTATGTTTTAGGCCAGGCGTGGGGGTTCACACCTATAGTCCCAGCCCTTTAGGAGGCCGAGATGAGAGGATTGCCTGAGCCCACGGGTTGGAGACCAGCCTGGGCAACTTGGTGAGACCTCATCTCTACAATAAATCAAAAAAATTAGCCAGGCATGGTGGCGTGTACCTGTAGTTCCAGCTACTTGGAAGGCTGAAACGGAAGGATCACCTGAGCCCAGCAGGTCAAGGCTGCGGTGGCTGGGAGCGTGCCGTTGCACTCCAGCCTGGGTGACAGACTGAGACCCCAACTCAAAAAAAAAAAGACGTTTTAGCTTACATTTCTGGCAGTAAGAAAAAGGTCTATATTTCATATGTATCTGTCTTTTTTTCTGGAAATCTATTCTCACTCTCCATGTTTGCCACTTTGAAGAAGAAGGGAGTACACTGAAATGATCTTCTCATCTTGGGATGGAAGTGAGAGAGAAGAGGACAAGAGTGAGCAGTGTTCACTTCAAAGATGGTGTAGGACAGGGATTCCCTTTAATTCACCTGTATTCGAGCCCCGGCTCTTTCCTCGGGCTCCTGACACTGCACCCATTCCTCCTGACTTCTCTCTTCGGCAGCACTTCCCTGTGGGCTGGAGGTTGAGGGCGGGTTCTCATGACTGCTCCTTCAACCGTAGATTACTCTCATGGATTTGGTGGCCGTTATGGGATAGAGAAGGACAAACGGGACAAAGCGGCTTTGGGATATGACTATAAGGGAGAGACGGAGAAACACGAGTCACAGAAAGGTGAGTTGGGATTGGGAGGAGGGGGGTCGCAGAGGGCCACAGGGCCTCTTCTCCTTCCTTCCTTTCTGGAAGTTAACCCAGGAGCCCCAGAATTCAGAAGGGCAGATGTGCAGCAGAGAGTAGGGTGGACAGTAAGTGTACCTGTGTGGGGTGAGTGGGTGAGGGGAAAAAAGGAGGATTAGGAGCAGGGCGGAGGAGGCAGGCCAAAGAGAAGGGATCTGGAGAAAGGGATGAAGACAGACAGGCTGAGTGATGGCCAGAGGGTGGTCTGTCTGAGTCTTAGAGGACCCCCTCTGCCTCACTGAGGACAGAGAGGCCTACTGCTTCCCTGGGACACATGGAAATGGCTAGAAGGCTGTTGATCTTTTCCCCATTTCTTCCTTTTCCTTTTCCCTTGTCTGTCACTTTTCTCTTTTTATGTTTTCCTCTTTCCAACTTTTTCTTCCATTCTCTTCCACCTTTTTTCTCCCCATCGTTCTCCCTCTCTTTTCACCCATGCCTCTTTCTATCCTCCAGTTCCCACATTTTCTTCTTCATTGTTTCGTTTCCCACATTCCCTCTTCTGGTCTTTCCTCCAACTGATCCCTCTCCCCATCCATTCCCTGCATCTTAATCTCCTGTTATGACTCTCAGAATTTTCTGTCTTGTAGATTATGCCAAGGGCTTCGGTGGACAGTATGGAATCCAGAAGGACCGAGTGGACAAGGTAAAGCACCAGAACACTGACGTCCTGAGAAGAGAGTTCCCTAAGTTTAAGGAAGTGCACAGAGAAGAGTACCAGGCGGGGTTGGGAGAAGGATGGGACAGTGGTGCTGGGTGTCCTGAACCTGTACTGCCGGTGTCCTGTGCTCTGCATGGACTACCCTCATCATCTAATGGGCTTGTCTCCCAAAGCCCAAGCTTTGACTGAGGATAGTGGAAGGAGGCAGAGAGACAGAGCCAGGAACGGATCTCAAGGAAAGGTAGTGCTAGACTTGAAATTGTATTGATTGCTTGGCACTCCTTAACCCAATCTTCAGTCTCGTCCCTCTCTATGTCACTGTCTCCCTACACTCGTTCCTCCTCATGCATTGGTCAGGGGTCCGGCTACCTTCTAGGCAACTAGGCTTGGAGACATGAGATGCTAAGTACACTGAGCTTCCAGAAAGGGGAGCTGAGCTCACCCGTTTAGAACTTCTTTACCCCTCTCTACCACAAAACAATACTGGAACTCCATGGCCCACTGTTGAGCATCAAACGGTGAGGGATACCTCCTAAGTGGCCCCAACCCCAGCACTGCCTTCGGGTCACTCCACCCTGCCCCTCCTCCACGCCACACATTCTGTCCTCCCTACAGAGCGCTGTCGGCTTCAATGAAATGGAGGCCCCAACCACAGCTTATAAGAAGACAACACCCATAGAAGCTGGTGAGTCTTAACGAGTCCCTCTCTCTGTGCTTCTCAACCCCTTCTCCCTTAATCTTTTTCATTCCCGGACTATCTCCTCCATGCCTTTAACTACTTAAATTGGCTAAGTTAGACTTGATGCCTACCCTCATATTCCAAGATTTTGTCTCCTAGAAAAACCAGGTCAAGTGGACAGAGACATAGAGGGGCATGGGGAAGGAGCAGGGGACAGAGAAGACAGGGAGGGAGGGATGGGGACAACTTGGGAAGGATGAATAAGTAGGAGCTTAGGATTGGGAACGAGGATGAGTGGTAGCTAGAGAGCTACAGGTTTAAGGAATGTGGACAGGAAAGGGTATGATTAGGGGACAAAGGCTTATCCTTTAGAAAGGACACAAGTCGGTTGCACAGCCTGGCTATAGGAAATCTAGGCTTTAGGGCTACACCATCCTCCTCCTAGGATACTTTTGTTCCTCCGCTAATACCTCTTTGCCTTCCCCTCCAGGAGTCCCCTCTTTCCTCGTCTTGGATGTTTAATTGATTCCTCTTCTTCCTTCAAATGCCACCCCTCCCCCACCCCCTCCCCCAACCCTCATTCTCTTGCCTGTGTCTACAGCTTCTAGTGGTGCCCGTGGGCTGAAGGCAAAATTTGAGTCCATGGCTGAGGAGAAGAGGAAGCAGGAGGAAGAGGAGAAGGCACAGCAGATGGCCAGGCGGCAGCAGGAGCGAAAGATGGTGGTAAAGATGAGCCGTGAGGCTCAGCAGCCGGCAGTGACTGTGGAAGAGCCAGTGGTACCAGCCCCACTGCCCAAGAAAATCTCCTCAGAGGTGAGTACCTGGCCCTCTGGGATCTGCATCTAGGACCTCTTGCCCAGATAAGGGCCTAAGGTGTCCAAACCACTGGCAGGCAAACCAAAGGTTTCCGTGGGATTAGGCAGAGTCTGCTGTCTCTTTAGGAGGACTTCAGTCTAATTGTAATTGGGCCTCATAGACCAGAATGTCAGGAAAAAAACAAGATTTGCATAGTATGACAGAAGGCAAATATCGCCAATAATTGCTATAGGAACTAAGAGGAAGGGGCCATTCCTAGGTTGGAGCCCATCTTGGGTGAAGAGTTCCATTTGAATAGCCAGAGAGCAGAAGGAGGTGTTCCTGATAAGTATAAGAGTGAAGACAGAGGCTTGCTTATTTGAGAGATGCTTTATTATCCACAGGCCTGGCCTCCAGCAGAAAGTCATCCATCGCCAGAGCCTGAGCCTGTGAGAACCAGCAGGGAACAACCAGTGCCCTCCCTGCCCATGCGACGGAATCCCCCAGAGGTAAGCAGAGCCCCAAAGAGTCTATGCTCCTACCCCATCTCCTCAAGTCCTAGGAGAGTGAGCTGGGAAGGGTGGCCAGCCATGCTGGTTTGCCTTGGGCTGGTTTGGTCATAGCACTGAAAGTCTTGCATTCTGGGAAACACCTCAATCCTGGACAAACTAGGACAGTTAGTTATTCTAGCTGTGGCATCTCAACAACGTGCTTTTGCTTCAGTGTTTTCCTGGCCTTCCAAGGAATCTGACTTGCTTTCCACTTCCCTCCCCTCACACCTTGTAATTCCCCTCCCATTGTCTCTGGGTAGGTGTTTTGGGTGGACGGGTGTAGGAGGAGGTTGAGGAATGAAGTTGGATGGAAGACTGTGTACTCCCTATGAGAGGCTCTTCAGCGGAGGCAAGGGTGGAGGGTAGAAGAGGTCAGATGGTGAAGGCAGCATCTTAGCAGTCTTCTGCCCCATACTCTCTTCTCAGGACGAGGAGCCTCCAGCCCTGCCCCCTAGGACTCTGGAAGGCCTCCAGGTGGAGGAAGAGCCGGTGTACGAAGCAGAGCCTGAGCCTGAACCTCAGAATGACTATGAGGATGTCGAGGAGATGGACAGGCATGACGACCAAGAGGGGGACTATGAGGACGTGCTCGAGCCTAAGGATTCCTCTTTTTCTTCCACCGCGGCTGGTGAGTAGTGGGAGGAGAAGCAGCTACTGAATTTGGTCTGGTCTAGGGGAGGGTAAGAGGAAGAATGTCTCGATTGCCCGGCAGGATCTGTCCCTGCCTCCTCCGTGTTGGTGAGACCATGGTTCTATTTCTCATTATGCAGGCTATGCTGGCGGGGCTGAGGCTATGGGGATCTCAGCTGTCGCCCTGTATGACTACCAAGGAGGTAGGTTGGGAGTGGCCTGAGGGGCCTGGTGTCTGGAGGCCCCAGACACAAGAGAGGGGGACGTGGGGAAGGAGGGGTTTACGTCTGACCACCCTAATATTTCCTCAACTTCCTCTCCAGAGGGAAGTGATGAGCTTTCCTTTGATCCGGATGACATCATCACTGACATCGAGATGGTGGATGAGGGTTGGTGGCGAGGTCATTGCCGTGGCCACTTTGGACTCTTCCCTGCAAATTATGTCAAGCTCCTCCAGTGACTGCTCCCCACTGCCTGCTGCAACTGTGACCTCCCACGTCTCAAGTGGCTCCGCCTCCCTCCCCTCCCTCTTCCTGCGGCAAGTGTCTAACAAGATGGACGAGTTGCCTGAGGTTCTGGACAGAACTCCCTGTCCGGCCTCACCAAGGGCATGGGGCAGAGCCAGCGTGAGGAAGGGGTTCTCTTTCCCCTCAGTGTCCTCTCTACCCTGGATGAGCTTCTGGACATTGATCTTGTGGTCCTGCCTCCTTCCCCGGGTAGACCCCTGATGACACCCCAAGCTCTGTTCTCCTCCCAGTTTGCTTACCTGGAAAGGTTATGTCTAGGATGCCTGGTTTGCCTGGTTGTGCTGTTTGCCCACTTTCCTTCCCTGCAGAGAGGTCTCTGAACCTTCTCTCTGCTCAGTCCTAAAACTGGAAATAAAGTGGGACTGTGGTTCTCCTCTGTACGGAGGTACATAGTACTTTTTGTGTACTCATGGCCCTGACTCTCTTGGCTTTCCTCTTCCAGGAATATCCAGGAGACTCCCTTTTATCGCAATCTCTCTGCACCCTAGATGTTAAGGGCTAGGCCTTTTCTTAGTATAGTACTTTAAACCCCGTCCAAAACAGATCAACCTGAAGAGGGGCAGTAAGGTAGGGTTTGGGGAGGGGGCAGATGGTATCTGCATTAAGGCAGTTCAGCTTCTACCAGCTTCAGCAGTTGTGGGAGGACAGCCACCTTCTGCCTGGGAGTAATGACCACATCTTTTAGGACATAGTGATTCTTGAGGAAAAAAAGCACAAATTGGTGGGATAAGGAGAAGGAAAAGGGAGGTTTGGCCAACAAAAAAGACTAGAAAAAGGAAAGTAAACTCAGGTGAGGTTTAAGAGGATTTGGAACCAGAGACGGTGACCTCTGCTAGAAAAAGTCCAGGCTGCCCTGGAGCTTCGACTGAAATGAGTGACCGGGAAAGACGGTAGATGGAGAAAATGCATGAAGCTTCTGTGTGGTTCAGGGGGAGGTAGATAGGAAGAGAGGCGAGGACATTAGGACAGCCAGTGATAGACAAAAAGGGAACCACTGAGCACAATATGGGGTTGAGGGAGAATGAGGGCCCGGGGCAAGGTGGTTTATCCCAGGCCCAGGCTACTGCAGTCAGCCTCAACAAAGTCAGAGATAGAGGTATAGGGCAAAATCAAAATAAAAGTCAGGATTGTTGGCTGGTAGGACACAGAAATCTGTGCTGTTAATAGTATCAAAGCCGGGCTCAGCTTTCAATGATGAGGAAGGTGTGGGTATCAAGGAGAAGCTGGGATAAGTGGCTGAGACCCATAGAACTCCCTAGAGTTGCTGAGTGTCTACAGCGCCACGCACCTCAGGCTTGCTTCTTTGGTTTTACTTCAAGATACACACTTGGCTGGGTGCAGTGGCTCAAGCCTGTAATCTCAGCACTTTGGGAGGCCAAAGCGAGAGGATTACCTGAGCCCAGGGGTTCGAGACCAGCCCGGGCAACTTGACAAGACCTCCTCTGTACAATAAATCAAAAAAATAAGACAGGTGTGAGGCACACGCCTGTAGTTCCAGCTACTTGGGAGGCTGAGGTGGAAGGATTGCCTAAGCTCAACTAGTCAAGGCTGCGGTGGCCGTGAGCATGTCACTGCGCTCCAACCTGGGCAACACAGTGAGACTCCGACTCAAAAAGAAGATACACACTTGGTTTCAACAATGGCTTCTATGCCAGTGAATCACAGATCTGTCTCTAGGCCTAAGTCACAAGATTGACCGAGCTAGCCTTTCAGAATGCAAAACAGCTTTTATTTCTTCTTCTTGAGACATTGGGATTTCCAGCATACAGAGATTAGACACCCGGGATAGACTCAATCTCATTCTTCACTGCAGTTTGATTTGACACACATCACACATCAATCAGAGTTTTACAGTGGTTTCCCCGAAACATCTCCAAGTTCCACCTTGCTTTTCACTTTTCCTTCTATCATAAGACAGGAACTTCTTTTCCAGACCCCTGTGCTCCTGAGGCGGTGAGGTCCTCTCTGCCTCCATTCTACAGACCTCACCCTCGGGAGTCAGCCGCTCTCTTCTCAGGACTGCCTTTCTCGGCACTGATACTCGCCAAGGACTTCTGATGGATGTCTCCTCTCCTGGGTACACAGACCTCTTTGCTCCCCTCGGCTGCGCCTCAGTCTAAGCCACATTAGCTGTCATGCTTCTGTCAGATAACACTTGCTGCTCACCACAGCTTCATCTCGCTCATCAAATCATCTCTGTCTGACCCTGAGTCTCTTTGAAAAGGTCCCCTTTGGCCCCATCTGCCCTCTCGCTATCAAATGCACTTGTTCCTTCACGGAAGCTTGTACTTCCATACAGCACTGGAGGAGGCAAAAGTGCAACCGGAAGTGAGCAACTGACCGAGCAGTTGTGGGCAGTGCCCGCTGCTCTCTGGAACCTGGCTGCCCCCACCCGCCCAGATTGGGAAGGGACGGCCCTCTGCTCTTCCTTTCTCTTAGAGCACCTTGCTTCTCTGCCACCTAACCATATTCCCTGATTTTCAACTCCACAGCTCTGCAGTTCCTCTTTCTTTTTTTAAGTCTAAAATAAGGAGCCCATAGGCTGGGCACAGCATTTCACACCTGTAATCCCAGCACTTTGGGAGGCTGAGGTGAGAGGATTGCCTGAGCCCACGGGTTCGAGACTAGCCTGGGCAACTTGGCGAGTCCTCATCTCTACAATAAATCAAAAAATTAGCCAAAAAAATTAGCCGGGTGTGGTGGCATATGCCTGTAGTTCCAGCTACTTGGAAGGCTGAGGCAGAAGGATCGCCTGAGTCCAGCAGGTCAAGGCTGTGGTGACTGCGAGCATGCCACTTCACTCCAGCCTGGGCAACAGAGTGAGATTCCAGCTCAAAAAATAAAATAAAATAAAATAAGGAACCTAGAGTGGACTTTAGAAGCTTCCTTCCTCCCTTAGACAGGTCTAGATTCAAAATCTGTGAAATTGACACCTGGAGAACTCTCTTCTTTCTTTCCCACTTCATTGTTGTTTCTGGTTACTCATCTTCACTGAATAAAACCTTAGGCGACATTCTAGTTATATTTTTCGAAAATAGTGCCTTACATACAAATGTGAAATATAAGCCAAATGATAGGATTAGGAAAAAGAGAGTTACATCACCAAATAGTGCCAAGTGGCACATTGTAAAGAAAAGATGACTCGCTCTTCTGTCTTCTTGACTCTTCTCAAAGGTGTCATCCCCTTCTTCCCAACCAGCTCCGAATCATGTATAACAAGCACCCAGACTGACTAGACTCTCTTCTGTTGGCTACATTTTTTGTTCTCTACTTCCCTCCAATGCCTGTCCTTCCTTTTCCCTATTTCTTGCTTGCTTTAGGACTGTTGGGAAAATGGCACTAATTAAGGTGAGAGGGATATGAACATGAGACAAATGACTCAACTTGAGGTACACTCGAAGAGAGCTGAAAGGCTCTATTCTTGTATGTGGCCTAAGAACATGAAGCCATACCAAACACATTTACTTCATTTGGCTCCCAATTTTAAATCATTACGTGTCTGCAATCTATTTAGTAAATAAATAACCACATTAAAGCATAACCATTGTGGATTGCTATGTGAGATATGATTTTGCTGTACTAAAAAGTAAGCATATCCTAATATACTGTCACCAGTTTACATCCTTTAGGACAGTGGTCCTCACCGGGACCCACTTGGCTCCCCATTCAGCAATGTTTGGAGGCATTTTGGGCTGTTGCCACTATGAGGGTGCTACTGGTATTTAGTGGATAGGGGCCAAGTTTGCTGCTAAGTATCCTATAATACACAGAACAGTCTCTTATGACAAATAATGATCTAGCTCAAAATGTCAATAGTTCCAATGTTGAGAAGCCCTGCTTCCATCGTGTTTTGTTTTGTTTTTTGACTTTTGTTCTTGTGAATAATTGCTGTTTGTTACCAAAGAACAGCAGTATCATCCATTTTTGTCAGGCCGGAAGCTTGACCAGCAACAGTAAGAACAATTTCTGGGAACCAATATGTTCACGTCTCCCTCTCCAAGACCCTGATGGGGCACCCAAGTTGTGACTTGTGCCAAAGGGACTGCAGTGGGCCTTGTCTGGACTTCACCAAATGTGTGGTCTCCTTGAGCTACCCTGTGCATTCTGGCATGACACTGAGGTTGGCATTAGGGTATTGAGGCTCTTTCAGACAGCACAGGGTGGCACGGGGCTAGGTCTGCGCTCTTCCTAACTCAGACTTAAAACATACTTTTAAGGAAAAAAAAAAACTCCCCCAAAAACCCTTGACTCTTAAGTCATTAATGAAACATTTAAAAACAGGCTGGTGGCTTTTTGTCCTAATTTTCCCCATAAATATGGTGTTTCCTTTGGACTCTCCATTTTCCAAGGTTTGCGTTTCTGTATGTTGCCAAGAGTCTACACAACAGACTCTGTGCCTCATTTCTGCCTCTCATGTTTTGGCCTGTGGTGTCCTCAGGCAAGGGACTGTCCTCTGTCGGGCTATGTTAGGAGCACCCAGGCTTACAGGCAGCAGAGCAACTAACAGAAGCCCTGGACTTCACTGTCAAGACAGACCCAGCTCCAAAACCTTCAAGCTGTGTGCCCTTCACACTAGGTGGCCCTGGGAGGCAGCTCTCTACACCTCAGCCCCGGTCCCTGTGTTGCCTGTTCCACAAATGTGAAAATGCTTTGTAAACTAAAAAGCTCTGTGTCAGCCAGGCTCGGTGGCTCAGGCTGTAATCCCGCGCCTTTGGGAGGCTGAGGTGAGTGGATTGCCTGAGCCTGCGGGTTTGAAACCCGCCTGGGCAGCAAGA